TTTTTTCCCCCCAAAGCCCCAGTAGACAGCTGTATGTCATAGCTGCACATCCCTCTAGTTGCTGTATGTGGAACTCGGCCTCAGCATGGCCAGAGAAGCAGTGCGTCGGTGTGCACCTGGGATCCGAACCCGGGCCACCAGCAGCGGAGCGCATGCATTTAATCGCCAAGCCATGGGGCTGGCCACCAGCTTACTTCTGATATCAAAACTCATTTACTCAATTAAATTCATTCTGATCTTAGCCAACTTGACCACTCACAAAACTCTTTCCTCAGGGTTCCTCTTCCACAAACCTTCTATGACTTTTTTTTACATTCAGAATTTGTCCCATGCCTTCTTTCTTCCCTCCTAGTCCTTTAGGACAAATTTATCTTTCTTAACAAAACAAACAAAAATAATTCCATTCTTTATACCTTCTTTACTGAAAAAATACATCTTACTTTCTTTGAATACAAAGATGTTTTCCTTATTAATTTTTAGTAGCTTTAATCACATATATTAGCTAGAATTCTTAACCCTTACAGACCTTAATTTTTCGTGAAAACTAAGAAGTAAGCAATTATAAAATGTCTTTTACATTAGCATTCTTTGGCTTGGCAAATTTATAAATACTTTTCATAATTTCTAGAAACATGCTACTTCATAGTGTGATCTTTTCATAAAATACAAGACATGTTTACTAATAGACCCAAACATCTTTTAGTTTCTTTGTAATAAGAAAGCAAATGTAGATAAACTTAGACATGTTTAGCAATAATATTTCAGTATTTACTCTTATTTGAAAATGACCTAGATCTTCAATGAATTTTTTTATCATTTAATTTCACCTTGCAAAACTTCAAAGTTTCAGGGTACCAACGAGATTTCTGAAGTTGTTTTAAATACACATGCCATAACACATAATCATTGTTAAAAAGTTTACCCAAAACTTTTACTTGCATCTATTTAGTTTACTTGTTCCCCATACTTATTTAGATGCCCTACAAAAAGTTCATGAGACATTAGACAAAATCAGCTATTATTTTTGGTGACAAATTTTGTAACAGTGACAACATAAGCTCATTTGACCAATAAAGGCTACATATCTACATTATATCCAATGTTGATAACTCTGAGGACATGCCTATTTCAATCAAACCAACAAACTTAATAAGCTTTCATTTACCAAAGATTAATTTTTATCATGTTAACTTCAGAAACTAACTTGGGTTAGTTTCTATTACATTTAGAAATAATTTACTTAAGCAATTACTTTAAGCCAACCGAATAGAGCTCTTTTAGAAATTATATTATCCAGAGGTAAGATATCAAATATATACAACAGACATATAGACACACATACACAAAGACTCCGCAGCTATTGTCTCAAAATTACTGCCATGAATCAGGTACAGAAATATAAAGCTCACTAGTTGTGAAAGAATAATTGAATCCAAATGTTGTTTTAATCTTTTTCTATTAATATTTGTGGAGAAGACACCCAAGCTGCTAGATTTTGGGGAAGGGTGCTCTGTAGGCAGTTTTTATTTCCCTTTTTTGTCTTTAGTCTTGAGAATTGGTGATGAGCTAAATAATAGGTCCCAGAGAAGCTTTTTGACATAAGAGAAATGGTTGAAATCTGAACTGCCTCTAGATTTGCATTTCCAATTTGCAAGGATTTTTTTTTTTAAGCACAGTTGCTCTTCCTCAGAAATTGGGTTGTAACTTAAGTGACATTCCAGGTTGATGTACCTGTCCAACTACGTCACCGCTAATTTGCTTCTTTCCTTCTGGGTGCTTGGTCTTATTTTAACTTAGGTGAGAAGGCCTAAAAAATTCCTATCAGTCTCTGAATAGCAGCTTCCAGTCTGGCCAAATTTCTGATCGCGTGTTGCTAAATCCTTTCAAATATCTTGTCAGGTTTCAGCCCAGGCAAACAATAACTATACCTGGAGTATTGAACAATTCCAGTAATCTTTAACATAGTAGTTTTCCAGAAAATCTCTCAGAGTCTTGTTAACTCTGGGGGGTGCTTATACTGGGCCTTCCTTCAAAGGTAGATTCAAAGGGTGCTGTACTATGATCTAATAGGCTTTTCTTTTAGGTACCTTTTATAACTTGATTTTTTCTTTTTTCAACAAAACTTTCAATATGGTTACTTTGGGGTTTTGAAGTCTTTGCTTTTAGTGCACTTTTTTGTGTGTGTGTGTGAGGAAGATCAGCCCTGAGCTAACATCTATTGCCACTCCTCCTCCTTTTTCTCCCCAAAGCCCCAGTAGATAGTTGTATGTTGTAGTTGCAGATCCTTCCAGTTGCCATATGTGGGACATCACCTCAGCATGGCCAGACGAGTGGTGCGTCGGTGCGTGCCCGGGATCCGAACCCAGGCCGCCAGTAGCGGAGCGTGCGCACTTAATCGCTAAGCCACGGGGCCTGACCCTTTTAGTGCACTTTTTAAATTTTTTATTTTATTTTTATTTTTTTTTTATTATTATTATTTTTTAATTTTTTGTTTATTGCAGTAACATTGGTTTATAACATTGTAAAAATTTCAGGTGTACATCATTGTACTTCTATTTCTGCGTGGACTACATCATGTTCACCACCAAAATGCTAATTACAACCCATCACCACACACGTACCGAATTATCCCTTTCACCCTCCTCCCTCCCCCCTTCCCCTCTGGTAACCACCAATCCAATCTCTGTCCCTACGTGTTTGTTTATTGTTGTTGTTATCTACTACTTAATGAAGGAAATCATACGGTATTTGACCTTCTCCCTCTGACTTATTTCACTTTGCATTATACCCTCAATGTCCATCCATGTTGTCACAAATGCCTGGATTTCATCGTTTCTTATGGCTGAGTAGTATTCCATTGTGTATATACACCACATCTTCTTTATCCATTCGTCCTTTGATGGGCACTTAGGTTGTTTCCAAGTCTTGGCTATTGTGAATAACGCTGCAAGGAACCTTTAGGTTTTGAGCAATTGAGCTGGAAGGTGGAGCACTTGACTCTTTAAAGACTAAAGATTTCTTTGTTTCTTGGTTTGAATGGTCAAAAGGAGCCCAAAGTGGCCACTGTAAGTTTAAATTGTGCCAGGTAATCTTGCCAGTTATTGACAGTTATTTTCATTTGAGGGGGCTGTTTCCAAGGTGGCCACAACAAACAAGGTAACTTTTAAAGAGTGTTTGTTACAGTCACCAAGAAACTCAGTTCCCCAAAACAGCCAATTCAGTTTAGACAAGCATTCACACATAATACAGTTCTACATATCACACAGACCAGAATACCAGCTACTTTGCCAGGAGTAGCTCGGAACCAGTGCCAGGAGCTGCTCAGAACTGGGAGGAGATTGGAATCAGTGCTTTGAGCCACTCAGGAGCAACTTCACGAGTGAGCCATTTATCCTGCCTCTAATTACTTTGTGGGGTTCAGGCCCAAGGTTTGGGACACAGCCCACCAGGATTCCCCAGGATACAAACTTGTATTTGTAGGGAATCAAACCCCAGAGGCAAGGTAAAGGACAGTCACTTTCTTAAAGTTACTCACCCAGAGCCCAGAGACGTCTTGATCCAGAACCTGTTTATTCTCCCAAAATAAATAAAAACACCTCGAGGCCTGGAGCACCACATTGGGAAACAGGAATCAGATCAGCCAAGCCTCTAGACAAAACTGTCTAGGTGGCCACTTAGTTGACAAAAAGATGCTGCACCTCACTGGCAGTTCTAGAGCCTTGGGCAGGCAGTCACAGGACCTTGTCCCCTCTTGGTCACAAAAATATATTGTTACCAAGCAAAGGCTCACCATCTGATGTGCATAAAGAGCCAATTATTGTGGCAACAACCTTTAGGAAAAGAAAACTAGCTTTATTTGCGAGATGAATCTACAAGGAGACAGGAGGCCTATGCTCTCAGATCTGGCTCCCTGATCCAAGGCTGGGGGCAAATTTTATGGGATGAAAGGCAGGGCAGTCTGAAGCATGGGGCTAGATGACTGGAGGTGAGGAGAAGTGAGGTAATTGATGACCTGCACAAGCACGGTCAAGCTTCATGTCTCCTCATAGGACACATGTTCACAAAAGGTGGTGTTAACATGATCTGAGGGTGGAGTTTTCTACTCTTTGACTTCAAAAAGGTCATTTATCGGGTGTTTGCACAGGCCCCAATGATGGGTTGGTGGTCTCAACTGGCCTTAACTGGACAAAAGGTCTCAGTTCCTGAAAAACTACTCTTAATTACTGTGTTGATAAGATGGGTGGGTTGAATGGGTCCCAGAGGGCCCATGGTTACACCATCTGGTAGTCCCTGTTCAAGTCAGTCTTTTCTGCCTTTCTCATCTGTGTCTTAGTGTTCTGGGTTCTGGATGTGCATCTGGCATGGAAGGGGCGGGAGAGGCAGAGGGCAATGTGCCCTGGCACACAGGGGACAGCTGGGGTCAAGGCCTCTGGACTGAGTAAAAGAGTAGCAACTCTTAGACCTGCTTTGCATCAGTCCTTCCATTCAGCTCCCCAGCAATTCAGAGCAGCCCCAGTGCTGTGTGTGTCGACTCCCCCTCCCTCTTCTCCCCTTTCTTTGACTCTGACCTCAGAACCTCTTTGCTCTCCTGAACACCTTTCTGCCCCAGAGAATTACTATATTAGGAGGAGACCTTTCCCTAAACTCCTTTGCCTTCTCCTTAGAATGCTAGAGAGGCTGATAGTGACTTAGATTTCAGAGAAGGTCATTCTGTGTGCTGAGCCCAATGGGGAAACCCAGGCCCAGAGAGGGTGCTGAATGTAAATGTGTCTTGAATCAAGTGTGGCTCCCACTAAGAACCTTCCCGAGGTCGGGAAGATCAAGCCCAGCGTGTTGGCAGACAAGTAGAAACAGTGCTGAACCCTGAAGCTAGACCAGAGTGGCCTATGCTGGTCGGTATGTGACACGTGGACGTGGAGAGCAGATGGAGTGAGAGGCCTGGGGCAGCGTTGCTGACAGCGAAGTGATGCTTTCTTTCTGGGCAGGGTTTAGATTTTCAAGGGCCTATGTCAGCTCTTGCAAAAGTAGTCCAAAGGGCGGATAGGTAGAGAGAGAATAAAATGTTCCAGAAAAACAGTGGTCAGGAGGGCAATTGAAGACTTCATGCCAGAGAGCCTGGAGGCCAGACTGCCTGCACAGCCTTCCTGATCGAGGAGGCCAGACTCTTCTGATCACAGCCTGTCTGTGTCTGTCCCCGGCAAAGCCATGTGGCTGTACCTGGCAGTCCTGGTGGGCCTGTACTACCTCCTGCGCTGGTACCGGGAGAGGCAGGTGGTGAGCCACCTCCGAGACAAGTACGTCTTCATCACGGGCTGTGACTCGGGCTTCGGGAACCTGCTGGCCAGGCAGCTGGACCTGCGAGGCTTGAGGGTGCTGGCCGCGTGTCTGACAGAGAAGGGGGCCGAGCAGCTGAGGGGCCGGACGTCAGACAGGTTGGAGACGGTGATCCTGGATGTCACCAAGACAGAGAGCATCGCTGCAGCCACCCAGTGGGTGAAGGAGCGCACAGAGGACAGAGGTACCACTCAGATTTCTCGAGTCTGTTTCTTTCCTCTCTCTGAAGGGAGACCCCTTCCCTGCCACCTCGGGAAGATTCCTGATGTGTTTTCCAGGACTCGAAGTCATACTAGCTGTCTTTACGTCACCCAGCTTACCAGTCTCTTCTCTCCTCTTTCCACTACCTGTACCTCCTGCCCTCGGAGCTCTGGAGGTTTGGGGATATTTGCCTGATGAGAATTTGCCCTTCCCGAATTCCTGTCTGTGGCGTCGCCTCCTTTCTTGGCAGAAGTTCTGGCTTTCTTGATGCTGAGTGCTCCGGGGTGATCAGAGCCCACTTTCTGGAGGCGGAGTGGAGATGGGGGCTTGAAGGCTTGTGTGGCTTTTTGGGGCAGGGCTGGAGCCTGACTCCTGTTCTCAGCACCCTAATATGTTCTTGCTGGGGACTCATAATGTTCCCACCAGGCAGTCACTGTCACCCATTTTCAGATGAGAACACTGAGCTTTCAGGACTTGCTAAGGAAGGTCAAAACGAGTACAGGGTCAACTCTCTCTCTCTCTTTTTAAACTACAATCGCGTCTGTGTTTTTATGGGGGAAGAAAAGAACATTAATTTCTTTTATCTAAGTATAAATGTAAAACATGACCATTGTGGAAAACACAGAAAAGTTCAGGATCAAAACCAAACTCACCCACCATCTCACCACCAGAGACAAGTCCTGGGACCCTTTTCACGTAGATGGTATCCAGTTTTCATGGAGTTCGTATCCTAATCTTTTCATTGAAAAAAGATGAGCATTTTACAATACAACGGAAAGTTCTTCAAAAATGTAATTTTTAGTGATTGAGAATATTCTGTCTTTTTGAATAACATTACTTGCTAAAACAGTACCTCATGGCATGATATGAAATATTTTCTGCATTTTATTCATCATATTCAACATAAATCATGTCTTGGTAAACTTCTTTTTACCCTCATCTCTCTGTATAACCATGTATATTGATTGGGTTCTTAGAAGTAACATGTCTGGTGGGAGGATGTGCATTCCTAGAAGGGTGGGCCTGTTTCTGAGCAGGGGAGGGACTCAACTCTCTGGGTCAACACTCGTGCCACCTCCTCCCCACTCCCTCGAATCCCTGCTCCTGCTGCCCTGAAGGCTGTTGCTGGAACTCTTTACTTTCTGTCCTGGGAAGTGTGTCTTGGAGTCTTGCAGAGAGGTTTCCATGAAGCTGGGTGAACTGTGGGCCAAGGGGGATGGGGCGAGGGTGGCCTCCTGTGTGGGTGGGAGGAGAGGGGGCCATGTTCTGGTGCAGAGGGTGAAGTCTGTGCAGGGAGGGTGGGGGTGAGACAGCATTGCCTCCCCCTCAAAGCCTGCCCCTTGGAATTGATCCTCCGGATCCTGCAGGAACCTTGCTCACTGTTGATGCAGGTATTTCAAGGCCAGTCCCTGAGGTCTCTCCCCACCTGTCCTCACATTGCCCCCAACCTGGGGTTTCAGGTTTGCTTTACGCAACCAACCCCTACCCAGATATTAGCCATCTTTCCTTCGTTTGTCTATTATCTTGTCTTTTCCTTCCTCTCTCCCCTCTCTTCCTCGTTCTCTCTGCGTGTCTCTCTCCTTCCCCCACAGATAGTTGTTGAGCACTCACTCACAACGCTGTCCAGGAAATCTGATGATGTAGGTGAACGTTTATAGCATCTGCAGGGCAACACTGATGTCTGAAAACCCAACACATTACTGTCTGTGTTCCGGATATGGACACACTAGATTCCTCCACATCAGTCACTGCCTTCACCAAACATGTGGGGGGATGGCCCAGTGTGCACCAGGCAGAGGCTGGGCCGTGAAGAATAAATCAGAAGGAAGGCACACTTTCTGTCCTCCAACAGCTTACAGGGTCTGCACCCCCCAGATCCTGCTGGCCCTGTGTTGTTATCTGTTCCACCCACTCCCATGCAACCTCTCTCATAAAGTCCTCACTCGTTTGGAAGGTGAATTTCAACAAAAGCTGTGTCCACACTCACAGGCACAATGCAGTATTGTTCTCTCACCCTGACTGTGCCCAGGACTGTGGGGCCTGGTGAATAACGCTGGCATCTTCCTACCCATGGCACACAATGAGTGGCTGAACAGACAGGACTTCATGAAGATCCTTGACGTGAACCTGTTGGGGATGATCGAGGTGACCCTGAGCCTGCTGCCCCTAGTGAGGAAGGCGAGAGGCCACGTGGTCAACGTCTCCAGCGTCATGGGCCGGATGAGCATTTTTGGTGGGGGCTACTGCATCTCCAAGTATGGCGTCGAGGCCTTCTCGGACTCCCTCAGGTATTGGACTGGGACCTAGGCCCTCCCTCAGTCCTCCTGCTTCTGTGCTTCCAGGACAGCCTTTTCAGAGGGCCTTCCTTCCAGATCCTTCTTTCCTGTTTGTGCCAGGGATTCACTGGGGAGCACATTTTATGTTCTGGGTGTTGGGATTGCCTCCAGGCCTATAGTGTTTGATTCAACCTATTTCTGCCCTGGAGGAGGACCCACAGTCAGAAAGTGTCTTAGGCAGAATTGGACGTGGGATAACGTAGCTGCAGAGCCCGTGTCCGTAACCCCTATGACACTCAGCTTCAGGGAGCCTTGAGGTGGGGGTAGAGCATTTGAGTCAATTGCACAGATACTTCTTGGAACCTCTGTGAGTGCACAATAAATGTGTCCAAGGACAACAAGATTTGGTCCCTGACCAAAAAGTCTGACAGCTGAGAAAGGGACAGGAGATACAGAAATATTGTGGCCATCTTTCGTGATGGTTGTGACCAAGTTAGCCATGGTGGCTGTGGTAGTGCCGTAGAAATGAGGGGAGGGGCCTGGAGAGGGGTCTGAGCTGAGGGTTGAAGAACTGAACTTGGTAGCCTGACAAGCTGACAAATAATGGGGGAAGGCTTTTGGCCAAATGAGGTCAGACAAGCCCAGGGTGATTAACGGTTGTGTGCCTACGCAGCAGGGTCCTCCAGGGCTAAAGGACAAGGTCCGGGCTTCCAGGAGGGATGTGGGGCAGGTGGGCATGGGTGGGCTCATGGAGGCACATGGGCCTTGGACGGGCTGTGGACCTTCATACTGTTGGCAGTGGAACTGCATGGAAGGGATTTAATCAGAGGAGCTACTTTGTCAAATCAGCATCTAGAGAACCCACTGACTGCAGGGCAGAGGATGGCTCTGAAAGTGGGGGAGCTGAGACTGCAGGCAGAGAGAGGCTCTTTAGGGGACAGATGGCCAGACAGTTGACTAGAGCAGAACAAGAGAGAGAGATCATTGAGGAGGGTGGAGCAAGTAACATGGGCAAAGTCTAGAGATGGATTGGATGTGAGGGGACATAGGAGGAGAGAGCATTTAACTGGTTCCTTGTTGCAGAATAATTAAGATTTAGAGCTAATAAGCACATGCGTGTAAAATACGTGGAACAGTATATAAATCTTACCCAGAGACTATGCTATCATCATAATTTTTCTCCCCCTGGCCACTGCCCTTTGAAACTTCCCAAGCTTTCAAGTTTATGTCACCCCAATCCTGTGTTGGGGTTGTATCATTTCTGTTTGCTTGTTTGTTTGCTGTGTTTTGTCTCCCAAGGCCTCTGAAGTCCTTGTCCCTCTGCCTGTCTGCCTTGCAGGAGGGAGCTCTCGCACTTTGGGGTGAAGGTGGCTATTATTGAGCCTACCTCAAGACAGGCATGAGGTAGGCTCAATGTTTTCTCACAGCCTCCAGGAGACATGGGATTTGGCCGGCCCAGGGGTCAAGGAGATCTATGGGGAGAAGTTCCTGGCATCCCTTGAGTGAGCTGTGGACCCTGGGGAGAGAAGCAAACCGTTGTCTGGAAGCCTGGGTCCATCACTAGCCCCTCCTCAGGTCTCAGGTCTATGCTCCCAGTTCCGACTCAGCCACACAATGGGGACATTTAGCTTTGGCCCATGGTCCCATGTGGTCAACTGGTAACCTGAGGAACAGATCTTGACTTGTTAGACCTGGGGACTATTGTGTCATCTGAACCCCTCATTATGTTGAGGAGGAAATGGAAGGCAGAGAGGGAAGACACCCATGGACTCACGGCAAGCTGGTATTAGAGCAGCTGGTTTTCAGGTGCCGAGATTTCTAGTGTTCGTAGAGACCTCCAGTTTGTGCGGTGCACATACAGCCATGAGTCGTTTAATGATGGGGGTAGGTTCTGAGAAATGTGTTGTTAGGCCCTTTTGTTGTTGTGTGAACATAATAGAGTGTACTTACACAATCCTAGATAGTGTAGCCTACTACACACCTAGGCTATATGGTACTAATCTTATGGAACCACCGTTGTAAATGCAGTCCGTTGTTTGACAAGAAGGTGGTTATGCAGAACATGACTGTATTCCCAGGAATAGAGTCAGAGCGGCCTTTGTGTGGATAGTGTGCCTGGGGTAAGAGTTGGGACACACTCCAATGACATCCATGGATTCCATTTGGAGCATGACATTGGGGGGCCCAAGAATTCTTAGAAACTTTCTCTTAAACTGATCCCAAAGCGGCTTGATTGGGAATTGAGAATTTATTTGGATGATGTTTCCTTCTTGACAGTCATCAAATCAACTGAAATTTTGGAGCCAAAGTGGCTTCAGAATGTGTTGTAGGTGACAGACTGCATGGAACATGCCCTGACCTCCTGTCACCCCCACACCCAATACTCAGCTGGCTGGGACACCAAGCTCTTCTACCTCCCCGTGAGCCACATGCCCTCCCTCTTGGTGGACGCCATGATCTACTGCAGCTCCCTAAGGCCCGCCAAGGCCCTGTAGCCCAAGACTGGGATGCATGGTAGGGTGGAGTTAGGTACTATGTGATGGAGAGATGCCTCAGGGGAAGGGAAATAGAGTGGCGAGAGGGGCTCTCATGTCACCAGGGACACCCATCTCACCTCACTCCTTACCTCCTCCCCAGGCTTCTCCTGGGGCATCACTCAGTAATTTGGGGATATTAGGAGGAAGAAAGCAAATTTTTACAGCTGGGGAACAGGGACCCAATAGCACACATCTCTCAAGGCTCTGAGCCTCATGGCCCTTCTGCCACCCTGAACCCACACTTTTGGGCGGTGTGAGTAGCTGAGCTCAGCCTGTTCTGTTCTGCGTCTTTTCTCCTCCTCAGTGGCAGGACCCAGACCCTTCCGTGGGGACATCAAGCCTCTCCCCTCAGCAGCAACCTTTCTCCATCTGTCTTCATCTGCCCCTCCTTTAGAGTCACCACCCTCCATCCTCTGCCATGCCCAGGTTCCCCAGCCCAGATCCCCTCCCCACAGCCTCCACTGGAGGAGAGGAAGAGGCATTTCTGGACCTGGTCTTTCATTTTCTGCTAAGCTTTGATGAGCCCCTATTTTGTGAGGGGCAGGAATTCCTTCAATTGCCCAGTGTTTCCTGAGCCCGCCTCTCTCTGTCTCCACTGTTTGGATTATGCTCTGAGTAGGGACTCTAAGGAGAAGGCATTTGCAGAAAGTGATACAGATTCCTGGGCTGAGTACAAACTGGATTGGGAGGAACCTTGCCAGGAGTCTTAGTTTTCCTCCTGTAGTTTAATATAGAGAATATGGAGCCTTTAGGGAACCTGATGTTGTAGAACAATGTTAGCACTCTTCGTGAAAACAAAAGTGAGCTCAGAGGTGGCAGAGCCCTTTATTCTCAAACGTGTAGTGAGCACTTTGTGTCAGGCAAGGGACTGCTGAAGACGCAACAATGACCAGGAGGATCCTGCAAGTCCTTCAAAGTTCTGGTGTCAGTCTGCAAGTCCTTCAAAGCTCTGTGTCAGTCTACTCAAGGTGATTCCATGTCCCCCAGGCCAATGCAAAGCAAGAGCATCATGCTTGATCAGAAGTCTCCAGGTTTTCATAATATTGTTTACATACATACAGCCAGACATGCCAAACAAGCGGAGATAAAATAAAGGATGGCTGATTCACTTTATAGCCTCGAGGGTATGTGTTCAGGAGTTTTGGACTCACCCCCAGGAGTCCTCTCCGGAGTGTCAGAGAACTGTGAGGTTGCAACCCCTGGCCATCCATGGTGAGTTCTACCTGGGGGGCAGGGCTGCACCAAGACGGGTCCCACGGCCTCAAGCGTGGAGTGTGACTCAAGGGTGCCAACCTTAACAAGACAGAACGAGGACGTTGAAAAAGAAGTCCAGTGCAAACTAGCCCAAGTCCTCACCCTAGACCCTCAGCAGATCCCCATCCTCCTCCTTCAGGCTTCTTCCTTTGGGGAGGGACCCAGGTCCATTCTGATAGAACTGTACAGGGGGTGATACCCATGTCATTAGAGTCCATGGGGGTGCCCCCAAGGAAGCTGCCCTCACTCCTTCTTCCCTTTGTTTTCCTGGCCTTTTCTGAGGAGTGCAGGGTCAGAGACTCTCCACTCACAAGTCTCAACCCCTCCAAGCGCCAGATCTCAGCAGCTTGAGACAGGTATGTCTCTACATTTCTGGTTCCCCACTCCAGGTAGTGGAGGCTGCATACCTGTAGGGCTGGAAACAAGCCTGCACAATTAACTCTCACTCCCTGCCCTTTGCATGCTCCCCTTTCGTTACCTACACCTCCTCTTCTTCTGAAGACCCATAGTCGGTGAAGAAGGGGCATCACGCCCTGACTCTGGGCGGGGGTCCCCGCTGAGACTCTGCAGGGGCCACCAGGGGGCGCTAGCCTCGGCTCAAGCGCACACAGTGGCTCACAGGGGCTGTCCTGGGACCTGGCCCAGCAGCCCCGCCCCAGGGCGCACGGGAAGAATCTCAGCGTCCGGATGTCCGGTACAGGATCTCAGTGCAGAGATTGGCAGCGGTGAGTCTCCGTCCTGGGGGCGCCTCTGAAGGATTTCTCATTTGACTCCTGCAGCCCCTAGGTGAGTGAGTGTTACCCCAGACTCCTTTCCTCTCTCTCAGCTCTCTCCCCAAACTTCCTGATTGTTCTGGTCTGGAATGGATTCTGACTCCTGGCAGGTCTGTAACGCCAGGGGTCATATCACTTTCAGGATTCACAAGAGTGAGGCAGCAGGCGTGAGGGCTCAGAGATGTCTCTGCTGCATGCCCCTTGGGAATTTATGGTTGAAGGAATTTCTGGTCACTGAGAAAAAAGTCTCTAGTTCTTTCCAAGAAGCGGTGACCTTATCCTCCAGCAGGGATAGGGTTAGGATTTGCATGACGTCTTGGCCCCCTGAGCGTTTCCGGGGCTCCTACCTTCCTCCTCACCTTCTTCCTCCTCCAGCCTTTGGGAAGCCCTTGGAGGAGGTCCTGGAGTCACTCCAGGAAGCAGGGACAGGCTGGTTCTGCTGGACCAGCCTTTGCCAGGCTGCTGCCACCTCCCACATTGAGGGACAAGCACTCTCAGGACACAGTCAGCTCCCTGTGCAAAAAGGTTACAACTGAAGGTGGAATCTTGGCCATGTGTGTCTTTTCTGCCTACTGGGGTGGGTCCGGGGGCCTTTGAGCCTCTGGTTTCTGTAGGGAAGCCTCTCCTTTGCCTCTCCTCTTTCCTTACTTACCAGTCAGAGCTGTGATAAATGTGGACGGTGAGGGAGACGCCCCAAACAGGGACACTGGCTCCTGTCCCTGCCCCTCTCACCAGCTCTGTTCCTCCGGCTGATCCACCCTCTTTTATGAATTGGTGTATGGTATCCTCCACCTCACTCTGAAGCCTCTCCAGCTCTTATGGAGTCTACTCTAGTCCTTTCTTTAGTGTCCTGAGGGGGCAGCACCCTCTTCCTCTCCATCGTCACCTGTGACAAAGTGACCTACTACCTTTCCAGTTATTGGGGTTTACAGCCCTCCCTGCTGGGTGAGGTTTAGGGCACCCTGTCCCTTGGTCCGTGTTCAGGTCCATCTTTTCTGCCTTTGGAGTCTGTGTCTCAGTGGTCTGGCTTCTGGACGAGTGTCCAGGCAGGAGGGGCAGAGGGCAATGTAACTGGATACCGAGAGAACACCTGGGGACGAAGCCTCTTCACCGAGTAAAAGAGTAATGACTGTTAGACCCACTTTGTGTCAGCCCCCCAGCAACTCAGAGAAGGCGCACTGCTGCGTGTCCATCCCCCTCCCTCTTCTCCCCTGTCTTACCTGTGACTCCAGACACCCAATTGCTCTCCTGAACACCTTTCTGCCCCAGAGAATTACTGTATCAGGAGGAGACCTTTCCTTAAACGCCTTTGCCTTCTCCGTCTAACCCTAGAGAGGCCAACAGTGACTAAGATTTCTGAGGAGGGGATTCTGGGTGCTGAGCCTGATGGGGAAACCCAGGCCCAGAGAGGGTGCTGAATGTAAATGTGTCTTGAATCAAGTGTGGCTCCCACTAAGAACCTTCCCGAGGTCGGGAAGATC